ATCAGTTCCCTCATTTGATAAACTGATCAAACGATCATTATTGATTACTGAAAAGTGGAATTCTACAATGATACCTATATGTCTTGTCTCGCATCATAAAAATTCACCTTGACCTATATCTTATCAAAATTTAATCTTTCTTTGTGTTATTTTTAGACCATCCATTCAGTATTTTTTTTTTATCATTTTCTTTAATGTTCAATTAATTCATTCTGTTCTTTTTTTTCTCTCCTTCCTACCTTTTTAATTTCTTTTAAAAAAATTTTTTCTTTCCTTTTTTTCTTTTTTAAAAAAGAATGTCATCAAATGTTTTCATAATTGTCATAAATGTTTGTACGTATATATTTAACTGTTTATGTGCCATCCAAGTATGGTGGTTGGGTGTGCTACGGAAATAGCTGATTGCATCTTTGTTGACGAATTAAAAAATTTCAAAGAAAAAAAAAAAAAAATGAAAAAAACTGGTCTAAGAAAATTCAGTTCTCTTTTTCTTTTTTTTTTTTTGTCATTCTGCGCCCTCAGAATTGCGCCCCGTTATTTAATAGATGAAGAAAAAATATCGTGGTTATATACGAAATGATTCTCCAAAAAAGAGATCTGCTGACAGATAGAAAAAAAAAAAAGAACAAAACAAAGAATAAAAGATTCTTTTTTAGATCATAAAAAATATCATTGCAACGATAATGCTAAATTTTCAGTAAACTCAATCGATGGAATCAAAATTTAATACTGATAACAAGTTGGGAATGTTAAAATTTAATACCAAGCAATTCGTAAATAGCAAATTTTGAATAAGCTAAAAGAAAGCTAAAGAAAATTTTAGCATTTCCTAGTTCATCAAAAAACTTAGTGATTTGAATCATATCATTCAGAAAAATTATAAATATCGTAAATATTTTTTATGCTATCAGTTATTAGCCTTTCTCAGTGAATGGATCAAATTCAAAATTTTAAATTTGATAATTATGAGAAATTATCCATCTTCACACAAAAAAAAAAAAAAAAAACGATTAATTGGGGTCATAGTGCATTTCTCTTCTGCACAAAACACTATTATCTTCTTCTGTAATTAATTGAAAATAATGTAAATCTACAAAAAAAAAAGATTTTTTTTTTGTTTATTTCTGTGTTTAAGGCGAAAAGAGCTAGAAAAAGACTTTTTTATTTATTTGTTTTCTTAATTGAAAATTTTGAAATGCATATTGCAGAATTGAATTTATTTCCAAAGAGATCAAAACATTAAATATTAGTGTAAAGAAATACTAGGTATAGACGTAAGATAAAAGTAAAGAAGAACTATGAATTTGAATGACATAAAAGATTGATAATAATTATCAGAAATCAACAAATCAAGACATCGAGAGTATAAAATAAGCTTAAGAGCCGTATTAAGCCTATGCTTATCTGATATGATAACTCATTAAATATGCCAAACCATTTATTTTTTCTTTCACCCTACTCTTCTTTCATTTCTATTGTTGATTGTTTCCCATTCCCTACTGTTCTTTCATTCGAAACAAACAAACAAACAAAAAAAAAAAAAAAAAAAAAAAACTAACCTTATAAATAGGAACTGTCAATTTTTGCGCTGTCGTACACCTTTCGGTGTAAATTTTCATTGTTGTTTCTAGTATTGTTTATTTATTATGGACACACTAGTCTTCCAACTCGTTCTCCAGCTAAATTTTTTTAATAATTATGCAAATTTCTTTAGTACATTTTGAATCATTTCGAGAAATGAAATATTCACCGCGTCTTAAGCTTGTCCAGAATTTCGTCAAATTTCAATTAATCTTTTAATGATGATTTTGTACAGGATAATCCCAAATAATGAGGCAGAAAAATGAAAAATATTGATGAGAAGAACCTTTTTTTTGTCCTGTAATTTAATTTAAAATTAAATCTTTATCACAAATATTATCAGTACTGTTATGATATGAAATCGTATGCATCACAGTGCATAAATCTTTCTGAAAATGGAATAAAAGCGAAAGTAAAATAGCAATAATATTATTACTAGTATCATTTACTTTAATTAATTATAACCATTACTATTGCCAGTAGGATACAATTAATTATCAAGTGGAAATAAATCTATCAAAGAGATTGTTCAGGTAAGTAATCATGCATATATTTTTTCTTAAGTTAAAGAAAAACTTAAAACATTTAAATTTTGTTATGATAAATATTTTTTTAAAAAAATAATAATTAATAATTACGTGGTGCTACCATTTAATCAATTACTTTAAGAGTTCTTCAGTTATTTATTACATTCTCCGTTATTTTTACCTTTTTAATTTGTTTCCATAACACTTTCAATGAATTATAACACAAATAATGAAGTGCTAATTATTTACTTACTTTCATTTATGACTTAACTTATTTACTCTTCCTTTCAAGAATTATAAATTACATTTCTTCTATCTTATCTAAGCTTTTGTTTATGTATCATCAAAACATTGTTTATTAGTAAAATGGAATTAATAACGTTCGTTAAATAAAAACTTTAAATTAACTAAAATAATTACTGGAATATTATACAAATTTTGAGAAAGTTCAATAAACGGAACGGAAGATTATACGGCGCTAACAGTGCCAAATATTTTTACTTTACGTCTATTAATTTTTCATGCTAAAAAATATATGAAATTTGATGATCATAATTTTATTCAGCTTCGTTCACTTCTGATAGTCATAAATTCTACTTCACTCATTTCTTAATGATTACACTAATGGAACTGATATCAATTGATTATCAATTGAAATTTATATAAATAATCATTCTTTCTCATTATATTAACACAAAGAAAAATTTGTTTAAATTTGTAAATAATTACAAAAATAAAATATTTAAGAAGAAATTCTAAATTTATGTATTAAAAAGATAGAAGAAAAAAAAAAACTGAGCATCTTTGAGGGTGGAAGTGATATTTAAGTAAACGTCCAATAAACCAGTTTATCAGCAAAACATAACAAAATAGTTAAATTGTAAAAAAAAAAAAAAAAAAAAAGTTCAGAAGCAGAAAAAATGCAAAAAGAGTTCAAGTAAATTTCGTTTTTTTTTTCTTTTTTTTTTTATTCCATTTCATCGGTTTTAATATAATACAAATTAACAAATTGCTTCAAAAGAAAAATATGGTTTTAAAGAAACGCAAGTGCAAGAATAAAAAAATGCTTTTTAAATCATCATTTTCTCAAGAATGAAAAATAAAAAATAAACTTTACTATGATAATTTCAATTAATATCGTAATATTTATTATCTGTTTGTGATTAGGATTATTTACAAAAATGATAAAAAGACGAAATGTTTACCATATTAAATTATATGCAAGGTAGAGGAAATAAATAATCAAAATTCGTCATTGAAATATTTGGTGACAAAGTATGAAAATGACATTGGATAATACATAAATCTAATTCTTTCATTTTTGTCCTTTTTTTTTTTTTTAATTTAATTTGATTTAGTTATGGCTTTACTTCCGGTCAGAGAATTCTATCTATCATTATTGCAATATTGGCATTAGTATTGAAGTAGCATTATCCGACAGTTATGATGATTGTAATGGAAAATAAAAATTATTGATAATGAAAGTAGAAATGGTCGAGTGATTGTCATTTTTGGCATAAAGTAATGAAACATGAAATGATAGTAAAATTAATGAAGGTAAAATAGCAGGTAAAAATGAATGAATGCAAACAGTAAAACAGGTTATTCAAGATCATTCCATTAATTTTACTATCAATGTCTTTCCAATCAGAGAGTGATGTTATCTTAATTTGTTGATATAGTAAACAATAAATACTTTCTTTAATTGAAAAACAATAATATTAGTAGTAACAATAATGATAACAATAATTGCAAGAAAAATAATGATAATAACAATAACAATAATTATTATTAGTGATAATGATAATAATAGCAATAACAGTAATAATAATTATAATAATAAAAGAGTAAATAATAGTAGCCTAGAGAACTTATGTTTTAAGAGATATAGCGTAAGCAAAGTGTAAATTAAAAAAAAAAAAAAAAAATCATGTCAGCATCAAAGTTAAATGATAAAGTCTCTCCAGACATACATATCAAGGTTATCTTCCCAGTACTAACGAGCTACATAAAAAAATTTACTGATGACAATCATATGGCAACAGGTAAAGTGTAAAGAAGAGGAATCGCAAGGTATGTTGAAGTAATAAGTCACCTTTTGTTCTCCTATTAAAGTAATAAAATGAAACATTTAAGTCTCTCTTAATAGATAAAAAATGTAGTAAGAAAGAAGCAAACGATAATTATATCTTAAATAGTTTATAGAAATGAAAAAATTAACCGATTTCAAGTTCAAGTAATGATTAAATCATTAAAAAATTACAGCATGATAGTATTATGAGTAAATGATAATTTTAAGATAGCAATTATGAATTACAGTGCTTACTTACTCATAGTGATAAGATGATAAGAAGTCGAGAAAAGATCAAGCATTCTGGAAAGAGATGTAGTTCAAGTAGAGATACCAGATCAGATAAGTAAAAAATGATTGAATAACAAATTATCATTGAGATATTTTCGGTATCATTGAATATATGAAAAATGATTGTGTGGCGAGAATAACGGAAAATATTAATGAAATGAATGAAAATAGCATCTCAAGTATTTTCTCGAAAATTTGTTTGTAAGATAAATGATAAAATTAAATTCATTGTGAAGCAAAGCTGTTAGTAAATGAACAAACAAAAATGCTCACATCTATTCTCGAGGAAAAAAAAAAAGCAAGAAGAATGAAATATTCCAGAACGAAAAGAAAGCTAAAAGTAAAATATGTAAAGAACGAGAATAAAGGTGCAATATGGGAACGAGAAGAAAATTTAAACATTTTACCTTCGCTGCCTTTCTTTAATTTAAGAAATTTTGCTGCTTTCAATTTTCTGAAGCGAAAGTGCGCATAGTTGATCGAGGCGTTCTGAAGAACTGGTTGATAATATCTCTGTGCTGTGATTTGTGATGTTGGGCGCTGCTGGTCATAGTAATAGTTGCAGTGTTGAAGATGATGATGACAATGATGATGATGATGATGATGACAATGATGATGATGATAGTAGTGATGATAATTGTGGCAATAATGATGGTGATAATTAGAAACGAACGTTTTCATCTATTATCTTTTTTGTGATTTGTTAGAGATCCAAGACAGAAATGATCAAATAAATAGGAAAAATAGGAGAACTGGAAATGAAAAGGAAGAGCAAATCAAATAAATTAGAATAAGTTTGAAACGATGCTTAGTTATAAAGTAATAATAAGTTGAATTTTTTTGATAAGAAAATATTTATTGCAATTGCAAAAATGAAAGTATGGAAGTAAAATGGAGATAAGTAATTAAAGTAAGGAAATAAAATGTTATAATTTCATTTACTGCCTAATTGACAACAAGTATGAAACAATTTTTCTAATCAAACAAATTCAAAGTAACAGCGCAGATTGTAATAATAAATGCATTATGATTTACTAATAATTATTCCTAATCTATTTTCAGCAGATTGAGCGGCGCAAATGTTAACATAAGAAAAATCTTTGAAATGTAATAACATGGAAAATGTTTCAGTATTAAAATTTCAAAAGGATTTATTATAGATAAGGAAAATCATTGGACTGATAAAAGCCGGTTACATCATTATCATCATCATTCATTGCCCATTATTCATCATCTAACGTTATCATCATTATCACTATTATCATGATCATTCAATTATTCTCATAATCTCTTTTCTTTCTTGAATAGCACTACTGATTACGACACGATTTTGGAAAATTTTAGTCGGAGTTTTATCAAATAATAGGCGAAAACAATAGATGAGATGACACAATGAAGGATGAAATGATATTTAATGGGTAGTAATGTATTTACCCGTTCTATCGGGTAAATACATTACCACCAATTCCTATTGATAACTAAAATGTACTAATATTAGGATTATTCTTGATACAAGTGATAATTCTGTTTAATTTTTTTTTTTTATCTTCCTGAAAAAAAATCTTTCGTTTATTTCTTCGCAAACATCTCTTAATAAAATACATTCATTAAAATATTAATATATTTATGAATTTATTTTTTCAAATTAATAAAAGGCAAATTTTTAAGCAAAATTTTTTACAATCAACAAGACAATTTGGAATTATCCATAAAAGACATCGTTGTAACTTTGCAAATTTTCTTCCATAATTCTACATTTTCTACCAATTTTGCGATTTATTGTAATTTTTCATTTCTAAGAAAGCAAACTGCTTTCCATTGTCTTTTTGTTATTGAATCAGTTCAATTCAATTCAATTTATTTCTTTCTTATCATTTTGATGATGGAATTCTCAAACATCAAACATCTCTTCTGCATTCTTAGCCGATATACAAAAGAAATGAATTTTTTTCTTATAAGTGACCCTATTGTTGATATGTGTCACTTTTGTCAACAAAAAGTGATTGTTGAAGTTGTATTAATCATTGACAAATAAACATATATCTCAATTAATAAATCAAAGGTAAATGATAAATGTTTATTTCTAAATGATCTTTTCATAAAATATTTGAAAAAAATTTTGAAACAAAATGAAAACTCTACTACTGCCATCATTTTACTTTCTCTAAAAGATTGTCAAAATGAGCGCTTTATAACTTTTTAGCGCCGAAAGATCATTTGTAAAAATAAATTAGCATATGTAATTAATGAATCTTATAATAATAATTTCGGCAAGCTAAAATGAATACTAAGCAAAAAATTTGATTAATAAAAAATAATCAATGATTGTGCAGAAAATTCACAAAATGAGATGACTTTTATCAGTTATATGTGAATAAAATTGAATTAAATTTTTATCTCCAAATTTTTCAAAATAAAATTTTTATTTCTTAACGATTAAAATTATAATTTCGAACATCAAGAAACAGTTCCAATCCATTTTGACATTAAACGCTTCAGGAAGCATAGAACGATAATGTTAAATTAATTAATGAACGATACGTTGGAAGAGATTTTTGAAATATAAAAGAGATTTTGAGAGTTAATTTATTGCTGCTTATAATTTAAATTAATGATTTCTTCTTTTCTTTTTTTTCTTTTTTTTTTTTAAATTTCTTCTTACTTTTTTATATCCCTTTTTTTTTCTCAATAGCGCCATATTAAGTGTATTTGAAAAGAATCAACCTGTTCTGTGTTCATACTTCTTTTCATCTATGAAATACCCATCATACAACATTTAGCATTTCCTGTGTATTAATTTTAATCAAAATTTTCAAATCTTTGCAAATTTTAATTTCAAATAATTTTAAAATGTAAAAGCAAATTTAACTAGAATCAATAAATTTTTGAAAATTATTACAAAAAGATAAATAATAATTAATTAATAAAGAATATATTTTCTTCATTCATTCAAATTTTGACGAATTTTTCTAAAATAGAATTAAATTGTTTCAATGAAGCGCTTTCAATCTACCAGTAATTTCTATCATTTATTTAATTCAATTGTGGTCAATAGCGCCATATATTGAAATGAAATAAACCTGTTCTATTCAAATGCCCATCATCAACATTCAGTTCAGCATTTCCTGTGAGAGATTTCGGAAAAAGGAATGAAAATTTAATAGTCCAAACTTGATTATGATCTTTCCGACAAAGAAAGAAAAAAAAAAGAAGAAGAAGATCCTGTTGATAGTATTTAAAGGTAACCTTGTATTATTAGGAAAAAAGGAAAAAAAAAAAATTATTCTAATAAGAGAGAAATTTCCATCCGTTTTAAATTAAATATAGAAATGAGATTGCTTTTTTCTTTTCTTCTCTCCTTCTTTTCTAACTTTGAAACAAAGAATTGTAATGAATTAATGCAAGAAATTTTGAAGAAAAGATGAAATTTTGATTTTCAAAAATTAAAAAAAAAAAAAAAAAAAAAAAAAAAAAAAAAAAAAAAAAAAAACTAATTAAAAGAGTTAAAAGAAGAAAAAGTGAAAAATGAGCAGAACTAAGAAGATAAATGTTTGAAATTATTTTCATTTAAAATATATTTTTAATTATTCTTCTTGACAATAAAAATATATTTAGGAATAATAAAAAAAAAAAAACCTTTCACAATAAAAAATATTTCAATATCTTTTTTTATTTTTTTTCTCATAACAAATGAGTAAAACTTGTGTCCAATTTTATTTTAATTTATTATTGATAATAACTAATTAAAAAGCGATAAATTTTTGTTGCAATTTAGTATTGTTAATTAAAATTTTAATCCAATGAATATCATCCATCCATAATGCCTCAGATAACATTATGAAGGAATTTATTTAAATTTAGTGACAGTTGTGACAATGAATATGAATTTGACAAATTTTATAAAAAGGAATACATTTAATCATAATTTTCTTATACTGATCTTATATGATGCTTAAATTTAAAATAATTAAGTTATTAAATTATTCAGCAAAAATGAAATTGTATGAGAAAAGGAAAAGAAAATAATTAGAAAATTTACGCCACTCTTTCTAAAATAAACTATAAATTAGCAAAATTTAGAAGTTGTTGAAAGAAAATTTAATTGCATTAATTACAAAAGATGAAATGAAGTGAACTATTTCAAAAAGCACATCGTAATTAATTATTTTTAAGAATAGTGTAAAATTATCTTTGAAGTATTTACACAATTCGGAAAAATAAGTAATTTTTGAAGTTTTAAAAAAATATTTAATTATTTGTTGTTTTCTATGGTTTCTTAAAAATTAATAGCAAAAACATTTAACAAATTAAGAATATCCTAACAAATACTAAAACAACATTTAAAATCATTTGTTGCAACATAATTATGAGCAGTAAAAACATTCAAACTTTTAACATTTAAGCGAGAAAATTAACAAATAAACTAGTTTTTACCGATTGCAATAATTTTGCAATTATAATCATGCAATAATGACAATAATCATACTTGCATATTGAGGAATAATTAAACTAATTAATAATCATTCTCACATAATACATTTTAAACTATTATTATATATGTGATTATTAATTTAATTATTTCAATTAATTGTTCAAAAATACCTAACCAAATATTATAGGAAAAATGCCAGAAAAGACTGTACCCGGAATGTTTATGTGACATTCCATGTTGACATAAGTGAATCTTGTAAACAGCTGAATATTTAGCCTTCCACGGAAATCTATAATCTAACTTGTTTAATCAATTACTTTAATCTGTTTGCTCATTAAGCTGTCGGTGGTTTAAGCTGCATAGTTATTAGCTATCAAATGGTGCAAACCATAATTCAAACTTATTTGGAAAAATATTTCAGTGCACATTAAATTAAAGTTGTAGGAATAATTGAAAATAATTTCAAAATATAATAAAATATAAATGGAAATGAATGAGTATTAAACAAGAAGCTGAATTTATTCTTTTACAATAACTACTTAAAACGATGTAATTCTAATGATCGCATTGATAATTTAGATGAACGCAGCGCAACTGATAACAGTGATAAGAATAGGAATTAGTTATTAATATAATTACACAACTATCATCATCAATCACCATCAGTTATCATCATTAACATTATCATATCAGCCATATCATTATTGTCATCATTGATATCATCATTTGAAATAATTAGTATATTATTTAGCATATCAAATATATCAAATTTTAACTCAATAAAAGAGACTAAAAGTTGAATTTTTTAAGTCAAACTTTAGCTATTTCAGAGAATTCTAATGAAGAATCAACACATTAAAACTCAAAAAAAAAAAAATATATTTGAGATATCAGTGATGAAAATAAATATCAATGATTTACTAGTTCTAATCAATTAGTCATCTCATTTTTTTTCATAATTTCGTTTATTTCTTCTCTGTAATTTTTAATTTTATTTCTTTATTTGATTTCTATTGTTATTAATCATTATCATCACAATTATCAATCAGTTTTATCCGGATAATTCTTCACTAATATCACAGAAAAATAAAAAAATTGTTCAAAAGTTGTGTCCATCAAAAAAAAAAAAAAAAAAATTTTGTCATTTCACAAATCCTTTTCCTCTTTTATTATTTCCTTTTCATCCTTTTACGGATCTAATTTTTTTTTCTTTCTTGTCTTATTTTTTGCCATCAACAATTAAGTTACATTTTAATTTAAAACATCTTACTTCTTTTTTTTTTTTTGTAAAAAAAATCTTCCGAATTTTAATTAATTTAATTGATTTTTATTTGTCAAATAAGTCAATTATCGGAAATTTGAAAGAAATGAATGCAATGAACAAATAGAAAAAATATATAAGAAAGAAATTAAAAAATATTTATAAACAAATTGAATAAACTTTAAATTTGAACTAAATCTGAAAAATCTAATCAAATTAATTAATTAATTATCGAAAAAAAAAAAAAAAGGACAAAAACAAAACGTACAATAAAAAATGAGAAGTAAACTGGGAAAAAATACATCGAATGGGAGTTCATTGACTGTACATAATTTCAAATTTGACATAAAGGTTAAAATGTAAATAACACTATATGCCTCACAATGTTGTTTCCTTTCCTCATCAAACTATCATACTCTATTTCACCCCTTCTCGTTTTCTATTGCCTAAGGACAAAAAGAAGTGACACTTTACCGAAGCTAGTCTCTTTAATTTTTCTCTCTCTCTCTCTCTCTCTCCATCTCTCTCCCTCTCTCTCTCTCTCCAAATAAACTCAGCTAAATTTTGTCCAAAA